TTAGTTTATTGAAAGTTGTAAACTTTATTACGTCTATTACATTTAAATGTAATAAATGTTTATTAAGAATGTTTGAATGGTATATGTAATTTACGAACAACGTCCTGCGCATTTTTATTATAAACTACGGAATAATATTAAATAATAACGTATTAATTTTTGTACGACTAAAAACATTCTCTTTTAATTTTTTTTTCCAACTGAAAATAGTTTTATAGATGAAATATAAATTAAAGAAAAGCATAAGACTAAAATTAACTAAATTATTTTAGTCTTGTATATTTTTAATCGTAATTGCTCTGTCAAATCGTTAATAACGAAATATAAATATACATTATTCAACTTTTGTTGGTATAAAGCGATTCAAATTAAAATACATTTCGTTTGTTATAATGTGTTTTTCTAATGCTCGAATTTCTTTATATGCAATAGATAAATAAGGGAATAAAATAACAAAAACACAAAATATAACTAAGCTTTGCACTACTGAGTAATATCAGGTGAACATGAAAAACGTCATTCAGGTGAAAGTAGTGACCTGCGGAAAAATACACACCACATGCACACCTCAAGTTTTATGACCCCAGTTTATCCACGTGTGTTTTCCAACGAGTGTGTATTGCACTGTTCTTCCGCATCTGTGTACTTTTCTTGATATTTAATACAGTATCCCAAACAAGAATACCGATATAAATGTCCCGTTCGTAAGAATTCAAGTAGTGGACAAAAAAGAGAAATGAGGAGAAGCTTGAAATACTGTAACAATATTTTGTAAGATTACAATTTTTGAGTTTTCTACTCTTAACCAGAGCTATGCCAAATTTCGTCGCCTGAAGCGAATCTCATACCTGTCACTCATGTTTCAATGTTAATTACATAAAATACTGTATGTATTTAAACATTACGTACGTGGTTTTCAAACAAATTACATCACATTCAAGTAAATGCTTAGAAATAATAACAAAAAAAGAGAGAGAATAAAAATACTTATTAATTTTTAGTAGAAATTTTATTTAAATTTTTTATTTATTAAAAAAATTTTACATGTTAATGTAACGGCATATTATTTTAAAAATTCTGCAGGATTGTAATTTCACGAAAGTGTTCGTGGCATCTCGATAATACAGTTTATTGAATATACCTCTCTCAATATAGCTTTTTGTTAATGTTGCTATTGCAAATTGACCAAATATCCTGTTGCAGTAATTATACGGAAATAATTTTTAATTAATTTCAGTTTGGAAAAGCTACGTATAGCTGTAACTACTGTAATTGGTATTGTTAAAAGTAAACGAAAGCTGAATGTACCGTACCTACCACTGGAAATAAACAAACAATCAATATTATGTATAAAATTAAAACATTTTCTGAACTCTTAATATCTACTGGTCTATTACCAGTAGGAAAGATTAACTATCTCTTCTTTAAGTTCAGTTTTATCAGTATCTTCATCTTCAAATATAGGTCATTGTAATATTTAACAAGAGTAGTATTGCTAAATTTTTGAGATTAGAAATAGTATATAAAGAGTTAAAATTCTGAATGTTCATTAATGTAAATCACTTGGCATCTATCAACGTCATATTTCCGGGTCTTCGTGGAAAATAGATGGCGTCGTAGTACGGGCCATTTTTTCATTCTTGTTTAGACTGTCATTACAAAAAATAACGATGTATTATCGCGTATGTTAATTGACTATTTAGTTGCCCTTAGTATACATTTCACAGTTAAATTTTAGCGTTTGGAAGTTCGCAATTTATTATATATACAAAATATGTACAAATAGTGTTACTGAAAAAAATATATACTTTGTATGTGTATATACAGTATATATATATATTACAGTAACGCTAACTAATGTCATTGGCCATAGAGAAACATTGAATTGTCTTTCTGATACTTTTTTACAGAAGAAATAACCTCAGATTCGTTTTCCATTCTTGTTAGGACTACAAATAACCTGCCGTTACTTTTAATTTCATTTATATAACAGTCAGTTTTCATGTAATGCAAATAGAAAGTTTAGAATATAGCTTTCAAGTTTTGTGGTTGCCTCTTTATTTCATCTATCGGCACTGTTCTGCTCTTAAAGCACTGCTATTTTTATTACATAACTTGATAATTTTTAGGGAACACATATCACATTATAGGAAACACTATTGTATCCCCATACAAAATAGTTTGAAGAGAGTTCCAGTGGGCGAAATGCCATCATACTTGATGTGTACATTTTCCAGATCACGAGAAACATGTTTTAGGCAATAAAAACGTATAGTTCAAATACTGACCGATAGGGAAAATACGGTGCTGCTAACAGGAAAAGATTATAAAAAATGAACTAGATTGGGAAGCGAACCATACTCAACAGTATAGGAAGTTTATAATACTTTGGTTCGAATGAAATTTTAATTAATGAGTTGATAGAAGCCTAAAATATATGCTAAGAAATTTTGAAAATTTTATTCAAAATTGTAAAAGGAAATGAAAAAAACCAAAAGTTTCAAAAGTCTCGATTAGATAAAGAACCAACGCATTCTGACACATATAATACTTTTTAAAATTCTCTTTTTGAATTGATGAACGGTAATTTTTATTCTTACTGAAAATAAAATCCATAAACTAATCACATGATCAAGAAAAGGAAGTTCCCAGATTATTATTTAGGGAAACATTATATTAATAAAACACGGAAACAATGCGGATATATTTCTTTTCTAAGCAATGTTTCTCATAATTACTCAAAGTATGTTACGAAAAATAGCCAACTACATATAGAACTAACCACAAAAATTTCTGCATTTTCGATGAGATAAACAGTATCATAATCTGGTTTGTGTACAAAAGTTTGTTTTTTCAGATGAAGAATTCGTAACTGAAACTGAAGAAACTGAAAATCAAATTCTGCTTCCGAATGCTATACAACTTATAAAAAATGTCAGCATTTATAACACATTAAAATGATTAAATTTCGAATAATGGAATGTTTTTATCATATGTATTTCGCTATATTAAACACATACGATAAAAACATTTCATTAGAAATTTATATATAAACCTATATATAATTACATAATTTTTAATAACATTAACTCTGTTTGATCCTTTGTGATTTAAAGATATGTCATCATTATATTTACTATATCAAAAATATTTATTAACAATGTAATATTATTATAAAACTAATATTATAATCAACAATATTATAATTAGTTTGAGGATTTTTTCATAATTTAAATACAGATAATATATTTAAGTAATCTTCAATGTGTTTATTGTCTTATCTTTTCCTCTTCATATTCATTGTTCCGCTGTTTATATTAAATTATAGTCAAATAAATAATATTTAATATATATATATATATATCACGAAAAGAATTAAAAATCGTAACAAAGTACTGTATTATAATTAAGTTATTATTACTACTACTAATAATAATGCAGTCGAGTCCATTTAACAGCATCGGATAAGGAGCAGCTCGCTTAAGAAAGCACTATCCTAATGAAGATTTATCTGTAACCTTACAGTACATGAGCAAATGCGATAGAGCTCTCTACACTTATGCATTTATTGAAATTTGATAAAACCTGCCATTGATCAGTTTTCTAATACACGAACAATCAAAAGATTTATTACAAAATCATAAGCAGAAGGATTTATTAGCAGAGCAATTACATCTTAAAAAGTTATATGAACGAATAGCTCAGATGACTTATACGTCCTCATCTCGAGATGAGAAGGGTCACATGGCTTTACTTTAGGATGATATTGTAATTATTTTTTATACTGTAGGCCTACGTCCTTTGCTCCACCTTTGCTCCAAAATTTTTGAATGCTCTCTGACTTAATACTAAATGTAATCCTTATATAACAGGCTTACCAAACAGATCATATTTTATCTTTTTGAAAAATCATCTTATAGGCTAATAAATATTATTAGTTTACATGAAATTTAGTAGATTATTACTAAACAAATAACATTCTAATATGCAGTCTATATTGTTAATAAACATATAACAGTACATTAGCAATATCATAGAAAACACGGATTAACAGGAAAATTAATGAGCTTACTCCCAATCCCCATTTCACCTAATTCGTGCATAAAAGGTTACCATTTCTCAAATGACTACTCAGATTTCAAATTCTGATACAGCATGGCTATTTGAGAAGCACTAATGCATAGGTCCTAATGCATTAGTGCTAACGCAAGTATTGTACTGAAGCTGGAGATCTGTTATTTGTTTTCTACAAATCGAATAAAGTTTTGCGATATTTCAAAAAGATATAACCCAATACTTAAAATCTGACTATTTAAATACTAGTAATACAGTATATAGAAATTACAATATTCCATTGCAATTCGTTCTTAATAAATTACCAGAGACAGGCTTCGTAATTTATATGATGCACACTTTATACTGTGCTTGTTGATCGGTTTCTTACCTTATTTTCGGTGTGTGTACAGTTCAAACATGACTTCTTCGGTGAATATGAACGAAAGAAAATCAGTTTTCTTGAAGAGAAATTAATTAATTTGGTTACGGCTTATCCCCAAATATGGGAATTAAAAAATTATCGTAAACATTGTCGATACTTCTCTGTCTGTTTATTACGAAACAATTTTCATTAAAAGCTTTTTTCTATTTTTGTGGCAAATACATGATGAGAATTAACTTTCTGATTTGACTAAGAAAATTTAAAAGTTAAAATAGTAGAAATCGGATTATCGTAATAATTAAGTTTAGCTGACTTTTATTATTATATTCCACATCCACAGCTTTCAAGTGTATGCAATATTTAAAAAACAACAAATGTCAAAATTTATTTGTAATATAATTACATGTTACATAAATTACATATGCACGTATATTACTCGTAATTACATGTGTACAAATAATTTAATTTAATAAAATTTAATTGATATAATTATACTTTTAAAAAAATTAGGAATTGTGCATAATTAGATTTAAAAACGATTTATTTATTTTAATTATTTCAGCAAGTTTTGATTCTAAAAAACGTCTCGTATCACCATACAATTTAAAAAGGCCAAGTCAACCAGTTTTTAATGAAATTTTATCTCAAGCTAATTCTGATCAGTCTACTTCAAGACTTCAATTATTGCCTAAACCAAATAATTTATGTAATTTTCAACGTAAGTAACGATATCGCTCTCATTATTAATTTTCGAATTTAATAAGACTAAAATATTTACTATTAAACATTAATAGTAAATATTATCTAAAATAACCTATATCAAAATCTTATTTGTAATTTTGTGTATGTGGCCTTCATTTTAATTTAGAATATGCACAGCTATTGATTATTACTATCTAATAATCCTATTTTTAATTGTTGTTTAGTTTATTCGTGCACCGCGTTATACAATTACATGAAGACCATGAAAATGAATACAGTAATACCCCGAACTTACGCGATAGGTGGGACCGAGCAATAACCGCATAAGTCGAATTCGCGTAAGTCGGGGTATAATTTCGCAATTTGTGTAAAATCCAAATCGGATGTATGTAAGCTAATAAATGTTCTCGTTAATCTTATCTCGTCTTTTGATTCGTTCACGGTTAAAAGAAATCACCACAAAGAGTCTCTCAAGTCTCTGTAGATATAACAAACACAGAAATAGCTACAATTTATTTTGTATACTATGATACGCTTCTTGTCTAGTCTTCTCAATGGTTAGTGAGCGCTAAGATTGGCTTTACTTTACTTCTAGACTTATTACACCACCACAGGACATCAAATTAGATTTAGAAAAACACTATTTTATTTTCAGAATGCATTTCGGACATAGAGTCCCTCATCAGCTATTTGCTACAAAAATTAATAGGAGGTTAACAATTTTATAAAAAGGCCGTGATTGACATAAATGAACAAAAATGTGGACTTACATTTGACATGTGGGTTCGACGCGTTGAACATTAATTAAAAGATTAAGCATACGATATACAAGATTTCTCGTTAAAAACGGTAATGTTGGTGCAATAACGTAATAATAAA